TTCCCTTTGTATATATTTTGGGAATGATATAACGGCAGCTAACGCCGTTAACACTACTCAAGCACATATGGTCTGGTCAAGGTCATGTAATATTTGATTATTTCATTGTTATGTTAATTAAATTAGCAAAAATATTAAATGTATATTGATTAGCAAATATAGAGTAATACTATCGATTTAAATTTATTGGAAAGACGTATATAGAATCAAATAACTCTCACGTTATATAGCAAGCGTAAAAACTATTTAATATAATTATACAAAAAAACTATTAGTACAGTTCCAAGCAAAAAAAAAATCGTATTCTCTCGTAATAAGAGAATTGGAAAAGAGATTTAATTTAAATGAATAAACATAGAAGGGAGAAAAAAATATAAAAAGGGGTCAAACGGCGTCAAGTGTTTTTAACACACCGGAAGGTTTCCCCGTTGAAACAGGAATTATTACAAGGATTCGACTTTTACTTAAAACTCGTTGAACTTTCAATAGTTTTTAAAAGCAATAATATTTGATCACATTCACATCAATCTCTCTTTTTCTCTTTTGAATATTATGAATCTTTGTTCTCTTATAAAATAAAATAAAGAATCTTATTTCAAACGTCTACTTCAACAAACGTACATATTTTTTAATTAAAACATCTACTACAAGTTTGCAACAAACGTATTCATGTGTGCTTTTTTAAACAAAATATGTCAAATCAGAAGTAATCGAATTTGTTTCTTTCATTTTGGTGTGAAATAAAAACATTGAATCTTAAATGTAACCTCAAAGTTCAAATACACGTGTTGTTTCTATGAAAGAATATCGTTTTACGTCAAAATTACATCGTAAACAGTAGATGAAGATGTTAAAAACTACTAGTACTATAAAAGGAGCATAAATATACAAGTAGTTTTCCCCTTGATATATTACATATACATGTGTGTAGACAAGCTTTAAAAGAGGAAACATGAAAGGATCAATAAATAGGTTGATTGGGCAGATGTTTCTCGTGCTACGAATCGGGTTTTAATTCACGCCCCTTTTGTCCCCGGTGTAGTAAATACGCATATCTCCACGTTACACTTGACTTTCAGTTTTAGTTTATTATAAGTAGTCTTGAAGAAATTAAATGCCTTTACTTTAACACTTCTAAAGAAACAACGACAAAAAACCAAAAAAGCAAACATCGGACCAATTGAAGTTAATTAATACTATCTTTAAAGTAATCTGCTAATGTGCAAAGCTCCAGTACAGGTTATGATATATCAGACGTGTTTTAAAAACTTATTAATATCGTGTGCCTTTTTTATTAATGTAATTTTACAAATTTATAGTACTTCTTTTGTATCATTGATT